ACTTGCGCAAGAGGCGCAAACGTGAGCTACTTCCTGAGCCCGCTGGCGCACAATTTGGCTTATCGAGCGAATCTGACTCGGATTCTGAATCCACTTCTTCGACCGACGAATACGCCGATGAGCTTACGGCCTGCCGCAAAGATGGTCTTGTGTCCGAATCGGATTTCAAGACTTTGGTCGCGCAGGTGGACGCTGACCTGGAGGTATGCATCTTATTTCTGTGTGGTTTTGAGTTTTGAAATGTCATTCTGTCGATGTCTAGACAACCCATTTCGACCCTCTACTAAGGCTATTAGTGGCAACTGGGACGTTGCCTCTCGCAAACGACGAACTCGAAGACATTTCACCCCTACAACGACACTCAGCACGGTGACCTTTTGCGAAAAAGAGAGAGATACGCTTTATTTTGAAAATGTAATTCCAAAACTTTCAGCAAAAACGTCCTCCATTCAAAAAGAATAAAACCAGGCGCACGAACTCACATCACCGGGAGGTCAAAATTAGTCTATAATCGCCAATGACTGCACTTTTCCACGTCGTGAATTAATGTCTTAGGAAAATTCGTCAAACATAGGCCAAATTAGACTACTTTCAAAACGGCGCTAGCGTCGTGAACTTGTGCATGTATGACCTCATGGTAGTTCAAATAAAAGAAGAGATAAAAATCAGTTTATAATGGTTAAAATAGACCAACCGACGTATATATGAGAAAATTTACATGCCAATGGAGGGAGGGAAAAATGGTGGCTCAATTTGAAAAGCTCTCCATTTCGTATTTATTTGCAACCTGAAGAATTTATCGCCTCCTCTCTTTTACCGATCTCGAAGTTGTAAGTGATGGGTGTCTGGGGACCTGCTAGTGAGCTTTTTTCATTGAAGGCCACTTTTGTAAATTTTGTCGTTTTCGTTCAACCGTTTGCGTATTTTCTACGAGTGCTTTTCTTTTTGGTGCTCACTTTGAAATCGAATTTTTACTTTCCTCTTAAATAATATTGATTCGTACACAGAATACTTTTAATTGATTACGGTCTGACAATAGGGGTATTTTGCGCAGTTTTCGGTGCCGACTGACGTCCTTTTTGTCTACTTATGAACGTATGCTTAAGTAAGCAGGGCTACGAATTCTCCAGTGGGCTCTCAATGTCGTTTTGCTATTTCCAAAGATTCCCATTAGATAATTCAGAACACAATTTTGGCGAGCGAACGCTTTCAGTA